TTCGCTAACGAAGAAATCCGTTCTCAGATTAATCAAAGAAACTGTAGACAATGTTTTTTAACTGAAATTCTCGGGGCACAGACTCTCATCTCGCCGCAATGAACTTTCGTATACGCGTGGAGTACAGGAATATACGGGAAACGCAAAGCTTTGACTTCGTTAACGACTTACAAAACCGTAAAAGAGGATTGCGGGGCGTTTTATACCGCAAGGAAATCTCTCTCTCTGGAAAGTCACACAGCATTATCATGTTTACGTTCACCGGTTGACAGCTTATGAAACGATTCCTTGCGCGAGGAGACGAAATATAATCAACAGAACTCTCCGCGAGGCAAATGTTGCGGAAGACAGTGAGAACTTTGTATAGAATACATTTCCGCGTTACTCGCAAGAATGTTAAATGCATAAATTATCCGATGAATGCAATAATCAAGCTGTTTTACATTCACACGTAACGCCGGAGATAATAAAAAGATTCTTCAACAGAATTTGAGGAGATTTTTGAGATTAACTCTCACATACGTTCCAACCTATTAGAAGTGTATACGCTAAAAATAATTTATGTATTATCTCTAAAAATCTACAACCAGTGTTTGTTGTTATCTAGATAATCATTTAGATGAAGCTTATGCATTATCTCATCTTTATCTAGATAATAATAGGATGTATTATCTACATCTTTAGCTTAGATGGAAAAATGCGTCATCTGCCTTAAATTATCTAAAATAATGACTGCATTCGGCAGAACTCAGCCCTTAATAAGCGATTTATGATTCTTTAATATGTTTGGTTCTTACATTTAGATCCAACGGAGAACCAAAGGTAAGATCCAATCATATTAAAACAAGTAGAGTTGTGCAAATTAAAAACTTGCACATTGCTTCCTCATCATTTTATTTTACAATGCTTAAGCTGCTTCAAGCATGCGGATTTTTCAATTTTTGCTTCCTCATAGAGGAAGCTTTGTGAGCGAAATAAAAATTAAAATAATTTCTTTCACCGATCCTCACTAAATTCAACATCAAACATCCTTTAATAATACTCTATTCATATAAAAAAATTTAATCGGATATTTCAAATTTTCTGAAAGTTACAGCGTGTAAAGACATTTTTCAAAAAATTCAAAATTTTATAAAAAATGAACCCTTTCACCGGTACTCACCAAATTCAGTACCAATCATCCTTTAATAATATTCTATTCATGTAAAAAAATTTAATCCGATATCTCAAATCTTCTGAAAGTTACAGCGTGTACAGACATTTCTCAAAAAATTCAAAATTTTATAAAAAATAAACCCTTTCATCGATACTCACCAAATTCAGTAGTAACTATCCTTTAATAATATTTTATCCATCTAAAAAAATTTAACCTGATATCTCAAAATTTGCGAAAGTTACAATGCATACAGACATTTCTCAAAAAATTAAAAATTTTATAAAAAATAAATCTTTTCATCGATTCTCACCAAATTCAATACCAACCATCTTTGAATGATACTCTATCCATGTAAAAAAAAAGGTTGTACAAAATATCGCGTACATACATACATACA